AACTTAGATTTATACACATCACAATAGGAAAATTCACTGGAACGGTGTGCTATATTTTTAAAAACATACAATTTAATGATGTTAAAATTGGACAATTCAGTATATTCAGTATATTCTGTACAGCTGGTTATCATGATACAAAAAAAGATACTGCTGCTCTGTTCTCAGTCCAGACAAAAGCAACATAATTGTTTAGGCTTAAAGGAATTTCTACACAGGCTTAAAAAACTGAACATTTTGAATCGTAAACAGATTAGACTGCGAGCAGTTGAGACTTATGTATTCAGAACCGTCAAAGGCACTGACAAAGAAAACCTAATGGACCCCTTCTGATTCAACACTTTTGTTGATTCACAGAGTGAGAACTACAGGGAAGATTTAGAACTTTTTCTAAAAACTAACAGTTTTTATTCACACTGGAAGTCAGTAACAACTTGTTAAAGCTGCCCAGCTGTTTTTGAAAGGGTAGGCTTATTAGATCAATTAGCTACTACAATATATGCAATATGGCTTGGATGGCCTCCTCTTTTTGTTACTATTCTAAAGTTGACAAGAAGGTAATTGAAACTGATCGTGCTTGATCAGAGATAAAACTGTGGTGCCAATTCGTACATCGTACATATCCCGGAAGGAGGTTTTAAGAAATCTGTACGTGCAGTATTGTTCCTGGAGCAATTATCAAGCCGAACCACGTGCCCACTAAATTGTCATTAAAATGTTAAAATACTAGGAAAATCACAGAGGTGTAATATGCACTTAGCAATATGTACAATCACTTGGTATAAAAAATTAGAGTAGCAGAGATAAATTCATCAGATAAGTACCTAATGTCAGTGCAACATATTTTTTCCTCCCTGGAGTGTCAATGAAAGAGTAAGTAAAACCTATCAATCAACACTGCTGACTGTTAACTAACACAAATAAAATTGCCTGTTGCAGCTTTTTATACAACACAGAAAATTAATCACAAATACTAATTAATGGACACCAGTTACAGTACCTTATGTGATATCCTGGTAATGGGACATCTACCAGCAGACCGGTGAATAGGGTTAAAAGGGTCTAGGTACCAATTCATTTATCGAATAATGAGGTATTACTGTACCATAAAGATCCATCAATTTGAAACATTGGGAATTAACACATCTGCAGGGATCATCGCAGGAGTTTCAGAAAAATACATGCCCTCCCAACCTGTAGAGCATTAGCCACTCTTATATTATGTAAAGGAATTTCAATCACAGAATTGTCATCTCAGGTTTTTCACATGACTGCATGCATAGTTTTTTCTTCTTTTCAGGTCTCGCTATCAACGTAGGCATTACTATACATAATGATGACGATTTAAAAACATTTTAAAATCTTTTTTAAAAAAAAGGTTTGAAAAGCACACAAGAAAATTAAATTGCTTATAAATATTTTTTAAAAAGCACATTAGGCATTTTGGATAATATCTAGCAAGGCAGAATATTTTTATCATAATATTAGCACTCAGGTACTGTACCTTATGGATGTAAAGTCATAAATAAAACAACATTACTGTAGTTAGTACTAGTAGCCATAATATTTTTTACAGATATACGTACCTCCTGAAAGGCAGTCAAATAAAAATGAAACATGTAGAGAGTTTCTGCAAAAAGGGAGCTTCATCACTACCTTGTTGGTTTATACTTTATCAGCAGTGTTCAGTAAAATTCCATGTGCAACAGGAAAAAAAGATCTTTGTTCTCTTTCAACAGAGAAAACATTGTCTTCTCCTGGACTTTTGGGACTATTGGACAGCTGTGCTCATCAGGTTCCGAGTTCTGATCCTTATAAATGCCCAGCCTCGTCCTTTCTGGACGGTACCAGCTGCCTCCTGGCCACTCCAGCACGGGCACCCGTGAATTCCTGAGCTCCTGACTCCAGTTTTGGAGTTGAAGTGAACCGTGGCTCGACCCTGCCTAGCATTCCCTTCGGCTCCTGATGTGGCCCCGTGTCGCTGGATATGGGACTAAGTTCTCCCAGGTTGTCCACACCAAGTCCAGGAACCTCCTTCTCCAGGCCTGGGTTGCTCGCACTGCTTGGAGACTGGGGGTCTGCGCTGAAATACAGAGTTGAGCTGGACTCCGTGGGACAGACGTTTGGTTCTGGGCTATCATCCAGCACGGATTTCCCTTCTGGGGACCCCCTCCTGAATTCAGATTCCTGAGACCCCAGAGGAGTCCCCATCTCCATCTTACCACCTTCTTCATGGTCTTTAGGGAAGGCCGGATCAGCGGCACTCTGACTCTCTTCCCTTGGGAATTCCGAAAAGGGAATAACAGCATGCTCCCAGTCGGAAACAGGGGAAGAAGGCCCGTCCTTCGTCTCTGGAATGAACTCCTCCGCGTCCAGGATGGCTGCGGTTCCCCCAGCACCGTAGCTGTGGTTGATTTTAGCCAAGTCTCCCGTCTTCAGGGCCAGGCGCACAAGCAGCCAGTGGTGGTGTCTACACTGCCCGCCAGGCTCAGCCCCACACGTCCCGGCGTGTCCCACTAGTGATCCTGCTGCTCCTGTTCTGCAGCAGCTTCCAAGAGCATGGACAGAGGAGGCAGCCACGGTCTTGTCCCCTAACGAGAAGGAAGATTCGCCTTTCTCCCAGCATGCACTTCCCATCTGGCCATGGCGGAGGCTCTGGGAGATTTCCGTGGACTTAGGGTGCAGGAAGCGGTAATACAAGACCAACGAGGTGAGACCTGGAATATTCGGGCGAAACATGTCAGTCTCCAGAGCTTTTCTGCCGAAGGGTGGTATTAATAAATTGGACCAAAAGCAACAATGAACAATACATTATTTAAAAATAAACTTGCCTGAATATATACAAATGATATATTGATAAACTGTCCTTATTTTGTATTTAGAAAATACTGTTTTTTATAGTATCTGGACATAAAAACAATAAGTGCTCTGACAGTGTTTTTCCAAATGATGGCATAACTGCAGTATATACCATTGACATAAACAGCTTTGTTAATGTCTTACTATAATCAGAAGTACATGCTATAAATGTAACTCACTGTATATTCTATTCTCATACAGTATTTCACCTGGTCATTTTTTTCATCTCCATGTCCATTAAAACACTGACTAAAAACCAAGCATAATTTTTCTATCTTTACATTGTTATAGAAAGTGCTCAGAAACTGAAAAATGTAGTTATACAAAATAAAATAAAGTATTATAAATTGAGAGAAGTGGCACTGTTGTGTCGAAAAGTAACTTTAGCAACTATGAAGCAACTATGTAAAGTATTTTGAAGAAAAAGGTTGTTCAACATGGGAACACACAGATTACATTTACCTTGGAAACCTTCAAATCTCAACAAACAAAAATAAGTTATACATATATCTTAAATAGTTGAATAATTTAACAAATAAAATTAGTTAACGAATTGGCCGGTTGTAGCCAATTTTAAAAAATCCCACTCTTTGTGAGAGAATCTGCTGGTTCTCTGTTGTTGCATTTTCTGCTGACCACTTCAGTAACTTGCATGGCCTCAGGTCAGAAGCTCTGTACTCCTTTTAAAAGCCCACCTACATTAAGTAGTAAGTACTGTTATCCAAGGTACCCACGATGAGGTAGTGCTTAAAATACAGTCTGCACAGCTTAACTCGCCCATCACATACAGATCTGTTTCTCACCCATGAGAAAACTGCACAGCACTGCAGTGGAGACCCCTGTGTTATCCCAGGATGCAGCGCTGAGAAAGTCAGAGGCAGACAGCAGGAGTGTGGCGTTCTCCAGCAGCATGACCTGGAAGAGGAGGAGGTCCTTTCAGAAATAAGACACAGGATCCTCTGGGAATTGCTTTGATTTCTAACAGCAGATTAGACAGTCTTTTTCTGGACAGTCCATGTGACGTACTTTGGAAGACTGAATGAAGCATCTGCTGGTTATTACAGTACTAAGAATGAGTGGAATTTACCACTTCATGAGAGTACCTTCAGTTGCAGAAAGGTGTGGAACTACCAAGCTAAGGATAAAGATAATTTTTTTTCTTTCATTGAGCAAGTTCTTGAATTTTGTAGTTTATTTATTGCATATAGTTTAAATTTTGTTCAAGTGATGCAAAGTTTGGTCTAATGAAGAAGCTTTGAGAGCTGTCCATTAAACTGTTACAATATAATCGCGGTCACAATTCAACGACAATTGCTGTCTGCTGATTTTTCTAGACTTTTCTGTGATGGGTTTTAAAGTCTGAGCAAGCAAAGTTGCCACACTTTTGCAATGATTTCATTATATTTTTATTTAGCAGTATTCAAGTGATTCAACGTGCTTTGAGTAATTTCTTCTGCAAACCCATTTCACAATATGTGAATTTAAGCCTAGTAAAAGGCATCAGAAATTGATCATTTCTGCAATAAGAAACAAGATTATTGCAAACGCTCTGGCACGTATTTGCAGGTTGCTGACATTTAACTTCTTTCAGCCGTAAAAGTGTTCAGTTTGTGTATTCAAGCCTGGATTTAAAACATTCACTTTAAAATAAAGTGTACAGCTTTGGTAATTCGATTCAAAATGGGATATCCCTGGAAGAGGGTGAATAGTTTTGTAAGGTACTGCATACAGAAACACGAAAGGAATGGTCTTTTCAGAGAATTGTGTTTTATAGTTTATGTTTCCCCAGTGCTGTCAAGTGGGCTTACCACATAGAATCCGGCCACTCGAAACCGGGAGGGACCGTCCTTCACGTTGAGAAAAAAGAAAACGTGTACAGCACCCAGAATGCAATTGAAGAGGCGCCAGTGCCACGTACTGCTGCAGATATCTGTCTGCTGAGAGACGAGCCAAAATGATGCAACCAGCCAGTGGAAACCTGCGGTCAGAGAACAAACAGCTGTCATCCACACCACTCTGAGCCTCCTGAAACCTGAGCTAAAAACAGACGTTCAGATGTCTGTAGTTGTCCTCCTGGGAGAGACACCTTGAACAGACATTCTCCTGGAGGCTTGGAGTGTGTATCTTTGGAACACAGCTTAAAGAAAACTACGTTTTACCACCACACTCCTTACACTCCCCTCCCAGTTTAGCTAAGCAGATGAGATCGCCTGCTGATTTGGACTTCATTGAAATCACAAGACTGCGAGCACCCGATAGGAAATCATTGATTATAAAATGTCTTCATCAACCTGAGCAGCAATCCTCCTGACATTAGCATTTCTGATCTAAAAGTGTTCGACCTTTTGTACATACTGTGATTCAAATGAGACTGACCGCACAACAAGCACTTTTTTAATCTAAAACTATTGAAGATTTATCAAATAAAATGCAAATAAGTATAATCACTTAAGTGTCACTTTCCTTATTTACATATCCTACAAGATTAATAGATTATTACATGAGGTAAAAATACAGAATTTTTCCCTTTGTTTCTGAGTAACATTTTGCCATGTTAGAACAATGTAATTTAGTACATTCAACCCCCCCACATTTCAACTGAGCATAAGTATTGGGACAAATGGCTGACATAAAAGAGCCATGAATGTATGGCCACGGTTCCAGCCTTTGGATACTTTTTGGGTCTGCCTCTTGAGTTATAAGGCATAGACCAAGATGAAACTAGATAATTGTCTATGGCGGAAAAGCAAGCAATTGTGAAGACAAGATCGCAGAAAATTACAACTAGAACTACAACTCTCTTACAACACCTCTAACAACTACAGGCATCTCAAAATCAACACTATGGAATGTCTTGAAAAAGAAAGAAGCTACTAGAGGAGTAAGATATTGGCAAAAAGCAGATCATCCAAGTAAGAAGACAGCCGTTTGTGACAGAAAAATCATCAGGGCTATGAAGAAAACCCCAAAATAACAGCCAAAGACATTCTAGACAGTTTAACTTCACTGCACACTGAAAACCTTAACAGGAGCATCACAATGGCTACTAGTGACCCGCGGGTCAGCTGTTTTTTTACCTGCATCTGCCCGTGGTTGTGAGAAACAAACCCGCACCCGCCCGACCCGATCTAAAATCTTTTTTTTTTAACCCGAACCCACCCACGGGTGTGAGTCAACCCACGCATCACTAATGGCTACACTGCAAGTTGCAAACCTCTCTTCAGCACAACAAGCAGGTTTGAATTTACAAAAACAGACAAAGATGAGTCTCAACTGTTTGGGAACAAAGTTTTATGGACATATAAGATGATGCTAAACCTTTCAAACTGACAGAAAGGCAAGTCTGAAAAAGAGCCGCAA